AATTTTTTAGTTGTTAATCAAAATTAAAACATATAAATTTATTACAAAATTAAAAATAAAACAATAAAGAAAAAATCTTCCTAAGAAAATAGAATGGTTTAAATATAAAACTTAACTGAAAATTTTGTGAAGTTTTTGGGATTAAAGGATAATTTTTCAGAACTGCATGTGCCACATAAGCATGCCATAGGATTCCGTTAAACAAATTAACGGCAATTTATTGGATAACTGAATTTGAAATGATTTTCAAAGTTTATAGATGGTTTTAAAAAAAATTAAACTTTTTAGATTAAAATAAAAAGAGAGTAATAGTTAGTAGATAAAAATTTAAATTTGGCCCAAAATCAAGTGTTATTGGGCAAATTAAATTGAACTCGGCGGAGCCACTGCTAAGCCCTTAAACTTGTCCCTTTACAGGAGATATATCTAAATTAAAATATAATTTTTTTACCTTATGGTGCTTGGTGCACACTAGAGAACAAATGGAATCAGTGCATGTTAAATCTAGCCATTTCAACTGTTTGTGATAAGAGTCTATTTGCACCGGTTGTGAAGGAGGGCTTAGTAATAACTAGTACTAAATTTACATCATTTATATTTTTAAACATTGTTTAAAAAAATTAAAATTTTGGTGAAGTTAACAATTTTTTCAAAGAAATATGTGCTTGGAACTGTTGTTTATTTATTTATCTGCAGAAATTGCAACCTTTTGATACAATAATCGAAGCAATTTTTTCCTGTACAAACATTTCCTCACTTTGACCGAGAAAAAAAAAAAAAAAAGATGACAGAACCACAAAAAGAGCTCCCCACGTATTTACATGGCAAAAAAAACCACAAAAATAATAACAGTACCTATAAGAGGCGCACTGTCATTTAAATTAAAAAGTATATTTATTATATTTTTCATAATTAATTTATATAAAAAAATATAAATTTTAATTTAAATTTAATTAATTGATCAATTTAAATTATTTATATAATTATAGTGTTAAAATAAATATCAATTTTTATAATTTTTTATATAAATTAATTATAAAATAATATATATTACTCCCTTAACATGTATAAATGTAAGTTAGATTAACCCATTTAAAAAATAAGTAAATAAGTCATTAAATCATGCAATTAAGGCAAAGGTAGAACCTTCAAATTCACCTTAAAAAAATTATCGGCAGGGACACATTTATCCCTAAAAAAAAAGCAATGACAAATTGTTTCTCTAAATCATAAATTAATACAAATCACCCATTTTTTAATATTTTTCGTTAAAAAATGTTGACGTAGCAAACAGAATTTTGATCTTTTTCGTTGAAAAATTGGTGATTTGTATTGATTTACGATTTAGAGAGACAATTTATCTCTGATTTTTTTTTAGAGATGAATGTATCCCTACCAATATTTTTCAAGGGTGGATTTGAGAGTTTTGCCTAAGGTAAAATTTTTGCCTTAGATAATCCTTAACATCTATAATTTCTATTAATTTTAGCTGAGGTGGTTGATAAAAAAATCACTATTATTAATCCACATTTATTTTAATATGTGCTTGTACGGTAGAAATTAAGACTATAATAATAATAATTTTTTTATATTAATTAGTATTGTCAAAAAATATTATTAATTTTGTTATTATTATCATGTAAATCATTTTAACTAAATAATTATTTAAATAAAAGTTGATTTTATTTTTTTAATATTAAATAATATTACTCCTAAACTTGTGCGCACAAAATAAAAAAAAAACCTTTAAAAAATGAATTCTTTTAATTTAATTATTAATTTCATTTAATTCTCACATTAATACACTAAAGGCCTGTTTGGTACAACGAATAGCGGGTAGCGGATAGCGGATGGCGGTTAGCGGATAGCAGATGGCAGATGACTGATGACGGATAGCGAAAAGTGAGTAGTAGATGGTAAATAGCGGATTTAATAAATATAATTGTTTGGTTATACAATAGTTAACAGTTGTTATTTAACATTAAATGACTAATAAGGACATGTTTAAAAA